GTTAATAATAGTCTGAATGTTCTGAACCCTGAACAGATATTCTCTAAAAGTGGTTGGGTCTCGTCTGCCATGTCTTGCATGTCTAATGCTTATATGGGCAAGAATGGACAGCAACTACCCACTACAGGCTCAGTAAATATTAATATATAATAAGCACTACAACAGATTAATTCAAACTGCAGCTTCTCAGTAAACTTACATAATTAAGTTCAGGTATGATATGATTTTTCAGTCTGATAATTAAATGTCAATATATAGTTAAGGCCATATTGCAAACACATTTCAATATAATTGTCTAATGTTTTCAGAACCTTAAAAAATTCACTAGAATAACCTCTGTGATTTTTAATATGTTCCAATTTTAACAGTTGGAACTTAATATTTTGACCTGAGAATCTTATAATAGATTTATATATGAGAAACCTTTGTCAAATTTGTGACTAAGGAAATTTTTCTACAGACAAATGCAAAAAATTTAAAAACAATATTAAAAACAAAAAAGTATGCTCACATGGCTTTGTACATTCTATTTCCTCTTTCTTGAAATTCCTTTCCCTTAACGTAGCCTCTTGATTTTGTTGTCATTCCTTTAGACAACAGACAGGAACTGTGTATTTGAATGAGAGTGTGGAAATCATTAACTAAATAATAAACTAACAAGTATGTGTAAAATTGCCACTCTACTTGGTTATATGATGTCATGTATGAACATACAAAGTGAGTCCTAGTCTTGAAAGGTCAGGGAAAAGTTCCCTGTGGACGAAAGGTTTAAATTTTTCAAAGATTCATATAAATTAATAAAGTGAAATGAGAGAGTCCATGATGTGAGAAGCATAATTTACCACTGGAGACATAATCTGGTGAAAGCCAGACATGGTGATATAAAGCTTTATATTTCTACACACGACTTCTTAGCCATACTATAAAAGGTGGGAGGGAGTGAATGGATGATAGTATAAACCAGATTTTAATAGGTGATACAATCATATAGTACAGAAATAAAATATTTTTTATAAAGTCATTCAATCTATGTGAAAATAGTTCAGCAACCCATGCTTATAAAGAAAATAAAGAGAAGTAAATGATTTAAAGAGACAATTACTTTGTCAAGAACTAGAAATAAGTGGTGCTTACAAAAGAGTAGAAAAACAATTAAATCTTTTGTGAAGGACTAGAACTGAGTAGTCCTTACAAAGGAGTGAAAAACCATTTCTGGATTACCACAACATGTAATGTGCTTGTTGGTAGGTCCCAAGCAATCTATTTCCCACACATAGCCGTCTCACATGATAGAGTAGAAAACTTCAGTAAGATTTTAAAGGCTGCACTATTTATTGAGTAAATCCACCTAGATTTTCTTCTGTATAGTGACTATGCAGGTTCAAACCACCAACCTTAAATACAGTCAAGAATCTAAGTATCAAGTAAATTTTGTTGTTGTTATGTGCCGTCAAGTTGCTGTGACTCATAGCGACCCTATGTACAATAGTTCTGAAGCCTGTCTTGTCTTGATCCAGTCTCACTGACTCCAATACATCCACCCCTATTGCCCTAGTTACTGTACCAATCCATCCCATCTGTGGTCTTATGCTCCTGCACTGTCTCTCAATCCTTCTGATCATGACGTTCTTCTACAAGGATTGGTCCCTCTTGGCCACATGCCCAAAGTATTTGAGACAGAGCTTCAAAATCCTAGTTTCCAAGGAGAAACTTGGTTTCACCCTCTCCAAGACAGACTTATTTGTTTCCTTGGTGGTCCATGGTACAACTCAAAGGCAACACTTTTTCTTCAGTCATCCTTAGCTCATTGATGCCAAGCAAGTAATTAAAAGGACCATGGGCCAGATTAGATGTACCTCAGTCTATAGACTGACATTGCTGCTTCTCAGTACCCTGGAAAGGATCCTGACAGAAAATTTACCTAATGCAATTCACCTTTTGATTTTCTGACTGCTGGTGCCAAGACCGGAACTTAGCAAGCTGGAACTGTTAACAACTTCAATCTCTACTCTGTCATTATGATACTGCAATTGGTCCAGTGGTGGGAATCTTTATCTTCTTGAGGTTGAGCTTCAATACATTTGAAGACCACAGCAAGTGCTTCAGGTTCTCAGTTTCAGCAAGCATGGTTGTGTTATCTGCATAATGTAGGTTGTTGATGAGTCTTCCTCCAATCCTGATACCACATTCCTGCTTCTCAAATGATCTGTTCTGCATATAGATTGAAAAGGTATAGAGATAGGACACATCCCTGGTGTGCACCCTTCCTGAGTTTGAACCATTCAATGTTTCCCTGCTCCGTTCTGAGGACTGCTTCTTTGTCAAAGTATAGGTTTCACATAAGCACTATCAAGTGTTCTGGGATTCCCATTATCCTCAGGGTTAACTACAGTTTGTTGTGTTCAAGGAGTATGATATCATAAAATATAGATTCCCACCTAAAGATTAGAGACATCATATTAAGGTAACAGTGGTATTTTATTTCATATATATATATATATATATATATATATATATATATATATATACACTTTTAAAAGTTGACTTTTATAAATATATATTATGCATAATATTGGAAAATTTAAAAATTATTAAAGAAAACCACCACACATCATATCTCTTTCTCATCAAGGCAGAATCAACACAAAATTGCACTGGAGGTTATTTCCCATTTTCCTCCTGCAGAGCTGCTGGAGGATACAAACTTCCAGAGAGGCACCATCTTTACATTAACAGAAGAACTCCCCGTGAACTGCGTCACCAGAGCTACTCAGCAGGAAAACCATCAAAAAGATGGGTTAACACAATAGACACAAAAAATTGACTCAAACATAGAAATTATCATCATGATCCCAAAAACTAAGAAGTATTTCTTTCTGTTCAATGTAAATCTTCCTTAAGTCAGGGCTGATTTAACAAAACTTATATTTTAATGCTTCATAAATATCTATTATGCTTCAGTTCTCCCAAGCACACCTATGCCTTCTTACTCATTCAAGGAGGTCATCAATCTGTCAAGTTATTTATAATATAAACACTTTTAAATATCTCCTAATGCAACCACATATCACTTGTACACTGCAGACCATGAGAAGATATTGTCCATATAAATTATATTGTGTATGGCATCCCCTGGGAAATGTAGCCCACAGCTTGCATGACCTTGCATTCTACTATAAGAATGAAATAGATGGATTAAGATTGAATCCACCATGGTAATAATTTCTACAATGCAGCCTCTCTAGTTTAACCACTGTCACTCAATTGGATCTCTACCATTTAGTTATTGAGAGTAGAAGGTGAAAAGACATGCTAAGAGCTTACACACACACACACACACACACACACACACACAAACCATTTGCAGAACACTATTTCCAAAAGATATTTTCAGGATGAGCACTAGTAGAATGTTTCAAGTCTGGTCAAAATAAAATAATTTTCTATCAATGCAAACATATAAGCCAGTTGAGCACATTGCTTTGTGACACTAGCAGTTAAAATACTGAAGAAATCAGTAAAATTTTGTTCTAAAGCACATTAGGGATTTAAAAAAAAATCAGAGAACTTATATTTAGCTCCTGCTTCAGATTCTATTTTGTATTCTTATTGTAAAAGAAGTTGATGCAAAAAGAAAAAAAGTTTTAACATTTGGATTTTTCTTTAAGTTCATTTCTAAACAAAGCACAATTCAAACCTCTGATATACACAGGAGCATTTCCAAAATTTCAATTTAAGAAGCATTCATATATATTAATAAAACGACTTCTATTTGTTCATAGGTTACATGCAATATTAAGCTGCAGATGGTGTTATCAAGTTTAGAAAATATGAACTAATGCTGAAGAAAAACAAAGTTATCATGCAATGGACTTTAGGAGAGAAATAATTCGGCAAATCTACTATGAATTATGGTTAATTTCTCTAGTTATTCCCCCTGCACACACAGGATCTAAGCTTCAACAAATTTCAGCAAGTTTTATTTAGCCCATAAAGTGTTTTTACTAAAACAAACCAAAAAATAATCTGAAGCTACCAGATGAACTAAAAGAATTCTCAGCAGTTGACTTCCTCTTCAAATAATACACATTACTTCCATTATCATTTAACACATGTACATTAGAGTGAAAACAAGTTCAAGTCCACAATGATAAAAAATATTTTAAGAAAATAATTTTTTCTTTAAATGTACGTTGTTCTTCACATTGACAGAAAATATAGAAAAACACTGATAAAATGAAAGTTTAAAAGGGCAACTCACAACACTGCAAAAATGTAAGTATTTACAAATGAAGAGGAAAGCATGCATGATCAAGTTTCAGGCCAAAAAGAAAAATTAAAGCAGAAAAAAAATGTCCAATAGCAAATTGCTTTGAAATGACCTTTCTGTATTGGCTCTATCTCCAAACAGTTTGGTGTTTCCTTTTTCACTAAAGCAATATTTATTACATATCTAAAACTAGCCAATAAATTTAAAAAATTTGTATATAATAGCAATCATATAAAAACAACTCAGTAAACTCTGTTCCTTCAGTTTATAAATGTTTTATACATTTATATGGCTGAATTTGCATCTGAAGAACTGTTAAAATGTAGATAAGAACAAGCAAAAATAAACCCAAATTTTGCATTAGATTTTTATATAGTAAGAACAAAAAAATAACTTCATGGATAGAATATATCAACATTCTTGCCAAGAAAGCAGTCATAAATCGAAAGTTTTGATATGGATTTTGCAAAACTAAATTTTGCGAAGAAACTAAATATAAAATATTACACTGAAGTAAGATACTATCTGAGTATTAATTATGTATACACATTTCACCAGTCCGTTACATTTTTTCCTATTGGCAGACATTTTAAAATTCTTAGAAGAGGAAAATCAAACTTGAAGATAAAATATCTACACAAAAAAAGTCAAAGAAAAGTTAACTTACTGATAATCATTCAAAGAAATAACAATGATCCAACTGAACCAGAGTGTTAGCCAGCAGTCTTACCTTGACAGGTGCCATTTTTCTCTTCATACCCTGCTTTGCACATGCATTTCCCAATGGGCACCAGCCACTCCCCTTCAGCACTGCAATGCATTTTAGGTGGTTCATCTGTTACAGAATGGTTGACACAGGAACCTGACACTTCAAGTAACTGTGAAGAATCAGCTCCAGTGATGGTATCAGGGAAGATTGCCAGGTGTCTTACCACAGAAGGGCATTTTTTATAGTACACACGAACAGAAACCAGAGCAATACAAGCACCTACATCTTGAAATGCAAGATAAAATCCTTTCTTGCTTAAGGGTCCTACATCTCTGATTTCTGTATTCAGTTTCATGACCCGGTCACCAAGATCGAGTTCTGTAAAGCTCTCATCAGCAGCAATGGTATCAATCTTGATGTATTGATTTTCCTTGATGTTTCTGCCATTTTCATCATTTGACTCAAAATAATACATGTTGAAAGTTTCCTTACAGGTCCCCAGTCCTCCTGGAAGGCTGTTGCAATCCCGTAGAGTAAACTTGAGCTCTATGAAGATTCTGGAAGCACCTTCATTGGATATCCAACTAGTTAAGAGCCAGTTATTCTGATTCTGTTCCATAACTTTGCATACTTGGTATGTGTGAATGGGAGCATAATTTTCATCAACTTCACCAATCTCTTCCCACTGCAGAATATAAAACAAAAAGACAAAAACTTAAAAAAAAATAGAAAATGACCAGAATAAAGTTGCAAAAATAATCAGATATAACACAGAAAAAGAAAGTTCTACAGTCATGATAACTAATAATAGAAGGAAACATGTAGAGAGAATCACAAAAAATCTTTGATCTTTATTTTAAATAAAGAAATTATTCATGTTTCAAATTTCTCCTAAGTAACTAAAATGAAAAAAGACATATGAAATCTGCTGTTAGGGACCTCTCCAAAGTACTGAAGAGCAATGGTGTCACTCTGGAGACTAAGGTGCATCTGATATAGGCCATGGTCTTCGCAATCACTTGTTATGCATCAGAGAGTTGAACAAAGACCAAGAAGGATAGAAGGAGAATTGATGCCTTTGAGCTGTGGTTCTGGAGAAAAGTGTTGGATGTACCATGGATTGCCAAGAAAACAAACAGATGCATCCTAGAGAGGGTTAAACTGGGCTGTTCCTTGGAGGCAAGGATTCTGGGGCTTCGTCTGACATACTTTAGACATGTTGTAAGGAGAGACAGGTCTTTAGAGAGGGACATCATGCTGGGTAGAGTAAAGGGACATCATGCTGGGTAGAGTAGAGGGACAGCACAGGACAGGAAGACCCTCTATGAGGTGGATTGATTCAGTGACTGGGGTAATCGGGATGGGTGTATCAGAGACTGTGCGACTGGCACAGGACACGGTTTAGGGCTGTTGTACATAGGGTCACTATGAATTGAAAGTGACCCGATGGTACATAACAACAAAAACAAACTAAAATTAAAACATGGTAATGGTATGCACTAGGAAAATAATTAAACTATTTCACAGTAAAAATAAAAATAAAATAAATGCGAGTGAGGAGAAGCAGAAAGGTATTTGAAAATAAGTTAAACTTTAAAATTAAATAACATTAATTTTAAAAGCATTTTAAAAGAAAAAATATAAACTAGGTGAAGAAATTAAAAGTTGCATTGCCATGGGAAAGTCTGCTGTTAGGGACCTCTCCAAAGTACTGAAGAGCAATGGTGTCTCTCTGGAGACTA